CGAGTTCATGCAATCCACTCACTAGGCCTCCCAGAGTTCTAAAATTATAGGCATGAGCCACTGGGCCTGGCCAGCAATGTCTTTTTTTTTTTTTTCTGAGACAGAGTTTCACTTTGTTGCCCTTGGTAGAGTGCTCTGGTGTCATAGCTCACAGCAACCTCAAATGCTTGGGCTCAAGTGATTCTCTTGCCTCAACCTCCTGAGTAGCTGGGACCACAGGCACCTGCCACAACGCTGGCTGTTTTTTGCAGAGATGAGCTCTTGCTCTAGCTTAGGCAATCCACCTGCCTTAGCCTCTCAGAGTGCTAGGATTAACAGGCATGAGGCACTGTGCCCAGCCTGGCTATGGGACTTTTTAAAGGAAGAACTCTACTAGGAAAGTAAGAGGAAAACCAAAACTAAGCCAAGATAATATCAAAACCTTGGCTGGCTTGGCATCTGTAGCACAGCAGTTATAGCACCAGTCACATACACCAAAGTTGGCGGCTTCAAACCCTGCCCAGTCCAGCTAAACAACAATGACAACTACAACAAAAAATAGCTGAGCATTGTGGTGAGTGCCTGTAATCCCAGCTATTTGGGAGGCTCAGGCAAGAGAATTACTTAAGCCAAAGAGTTTGAGGTTGCTGTGAGCTATGATGCTACAGCACTCTACCAAGGGTGACATAGTGAGACTCTGTCTCAAAACAAAACAAAACAAAACAAACAAAACAACAAAAAACAAAAAAATCCCCCAAACCTTGGCTGGCCCGGAGTCTGCAGCTGAGCATTGTGGCTGGCGCCTGTAGTCTCAAGCATCTGGCTCAGCATCTGGCTCTGACTGTCTTTGCCCAGGATGCTACAGTCCTTTTTAATCCCTGGGTAACTGCCTGGCTCATGAGCTCTTGGTCCCCCTCCAAGGGTGTGTGTGTGCGTGTGGGGTTCAGTGCTGCTTCAGGCTTTTCCCTAGGTGCATATCTGTGACCTGTGGACTGGTGTTCCTCACCAGCACCCCCAGTTCTGCAGCCTCTGCCTCCAGGGCCCTGCGCTCTGGATTTCACTAGGATGCAGGGACACAGAGGAAGCCACAGGGCTGGCAGGGTCAGGATGGAAAGAGAAAGGGGCTGACCGGCCATAGGCATAGTCAGTAGGATAACATGTGTTCATGAGGCCAGGAAAAGGCTGTGAAGAAGGAATCTGGGGAGTATTTATGGAAGAGAAACAGTTTGGTCTCAGGTCACATGCACCCTCCAAAGAGCTGCTGCATTTCCCAGCAGGGCTTTTGAGAGAAAAACTCCCTCTGTGTGTGCTCTTCACTGGCAGGAGGGGAGCAACTAAGGGATGTTTTTCTGGGGACCCAGGATTCCTGGAAACCATAGGAGGATGAGGAGGCCAATCTGATGGGGAGCTTGGAGCCTTACTCTCAAGCTCGGGAGATTGTCTGCAGTCATTTGGGCTACACATGGTAAGGCCCAGCAGCCAGGGCAGTCAGGACTGAGGGCAGGCCCTCAGGGGACATAACCAGGAAGCAGAGGTTGGGAGCCCAGCATTGCCAGTGGGCACCTAGGGTGCATATAGAGTACATGGGAAGGACACAGGGACAGACTCCTGCACAGCCCCATCCCTACCTCAGTGTCCCCCTCCTCTGCCCCTCTGGCCAGAGCTCAGGGATGCCTTCTGCTTCACTGAGCCCATCTGTCTGAGGCTTGCTCACATCTTCCTCTTTTGTGACTGGAAGTAAGAGGGCAAAGTGCAAGCTGTGCAGTCACGGAGGGAACACAGAACCTAAGAGTGTGAAGGGACAGAGAGGAGAGTGAGGTGGCCAGGTAGAGGGCTCAAGACCATGGCGGACACCATCACCTATGCAGACCTGCGGTTTGTGAAGGCTCCCCTTAAGAAGAGCGTCTCCAGCCGTACGGGACAGGGTCTGGGTAAGGGGGGACCTGGTGTCGCCTACCTAGGTCTCCTCATGGCCCCTTCCGGACTCCCACCTTGGTCCCTCTTTTTCTCTCTCCTCTCCAGATCCAGAGGCTGACGAAGATGGGGAACTCACCTACGAGAACGTGCAAGTGTCCCCGGTCTCAGGGGGACCCTCGGGCTTGGCTTCCTCTGGTCTAGGCGACAAAGCAGGTCCGGAGAGCCTGGGTACAAATATTTGTAGGGGGCAATGTCTCCGCGGTTCTTAGAGAAGAAGGAAAACAGCGGAGTAAACGGGAGTGGAGGGGAAGAGGGTTCCCTGGGCAAGGTGGAGTTGGGAGCGATGAGGGCAGGGAGGGATGGGGCAGCCCCGGAGGGAGATAAGATCCGAGGAAACGTCGAAGGGAGACCCGGGAAAAGACAGGCCCAGGACCGGGCTGAGAGGGTGGGGAGAGGAGCCCCGGAGAGTGGCGGGTGACTGGGGCACCTGCAGAGGGCAGCGCGGGGCAAACTGGAGTTCCCTCGCGGCGGGCTGGGGCGGAGAAGGGGCATTACCCGGGGCTTCCGGTCTTGGAACTGGACGCTTCCTTCGCAGGGGTCAAGGCGGAGCAGCCAGCGGCGGCCTGGAGCTCCCTGAAGTCACCGGCTGCCTGGCGGCTTCTGCTCTGTGAGTACTGTCTGGTCGCTGCCCTGCGCCTTCCTCCATCCCCCACAGATCATGCCGACCCTGGTCACGTCTGCCCTTCGGATGCCCCAATTCTCATGTTTCCCTCCTCCCCTTCCGGGATTTAGTTCACCCTACTCCAGGTAGTGCCCTCCAATCCTCCTTACCTGTAACAACCCCCAGCTCTGATTCGGAAGCACCCTCCCTCCCCCTACCTGCAAAACACCCCACCATGCTCTCCCCTCAACTCTGCACCTCTGTCCCTCTCAGGGAGCTTTCCCACCCACCCATCCCCTGGTCTATGCATTCTTTCCTGGGGCTGACTGCCGCTCACCCATCTTTGGTCCCCCAAGGCCAGGCAGCCTGCTGGCAGTACCTCCTGCTGGGCCTGCTCCTCACCTGCTTGCTGTTGGGAGTGGCGGCCACCTGCCTGGGAGTGCGTTGTGAGTATGGCTGCCCCATTTCCCACTTACACCAAACAACTTTCTTCCTTCCTCTTCCCCAAAGCTGCCTTTCCTCAGCCCGTAGTCACTACATCCTTAGCTTTTAATCTGGTGTCCAGCCAGGTCTGTTAAGCTTTGGACGGTTGGTTGTATGAAGAAGAAAAAGGGCTGATGCTGTAGTCCCAGAACAACAGGGCACAGCTGGAGAAGCCCTCCAAATCTTTCTTTATGGCCAAACAGATCTGCAGGCATCTCAGCACCTCCAGCAGGTGAACAGGGTTCTAGAAGCCACTAACAGCAGCCTGAGGCAGCAGCTCCGCCTAAAGATAACTCAGCTGGGGCAGAGGGAAGATGAGCTGCAGGGGTCCAGGAGAGAGCTGGAACAGAGTCAGGAAGCTCTACAGGTGCAGCAGAGGGTTCACCAGGATGCCGAAGGGCGGCTGCAGACCTGTCAGTCAGACAGGGAGAGGACAAATGAGATCTTGCAAAGTGAGAAGGCGCACAGGAGCACCTTGGAGCAGAAGCTGAGCAGCATGCAGGACACACTGAAGTCCTTCCTCACATGCTTCCCACAAGGTATCTGCTCTGGGGAGAGGGTGGGGGATGGACAGAAGCCAGGAGACACTAATGGCAGGGCCCAGTGTGTTGCTCAGGAAGGGAGCAGTGAACCAGAGTGGTGGCTGCCATGAGCTGGGCAGCCTCAGCAATAGGAAGGAGGACCAAGCCACACCCTGGATTGAGGGGCTCACCCAGCTCCAAGGCTGATCCTGTATGGGGGAGAGGGGAAGCAGTCCTAGTCCAAATTCACAGTGTCCAAAGCAGCATGTCAAATTAAGGTTTCATCTGGTTGACATCAGTGGGAAGGATCTGGAAACCCCTGGATTTGAAGTTGGTTTGTTGCACATTTTTCTAAAGACAGGATCCCCAGCTTTAGTTAATTTTCACTACATCCGAGATCCTTCAAAAGGTTCAGAATTCCTGACTGGCACAAGGTGCAGTCTGGTGGTGGGACGAGGCTGTTCTTGGCACTCCCAATGAAGTGGGTGGGGGTTGTGGTTCAGGGAACTAGGATGGGGTGTCCATTCATTTTGTAAGCAAGGAACCCTGCCAGTAGGTGGAGATGGGGGAAAGGACACATAAAAGGGGAAAGACTGTGCCAAAGCAGGCTGAGGGTCTAGGCAGGACACCAGGGCCTAGGGACTGGAGGTTTATGGACTGCTATGGCGGTTAGGCTCTGTCTAGCTTAGGGGGCATCTGGAGGCTGCCCCAGACTGAAGACAGCAAGGTTAGGTGCAGACATGGCCCCCCATCTTGTGTTTCTTACCTTGTTACACTCTGTAACCTTTAGTTCCATGGCAGGGCTGCCACCCATTCCCATACCTGCTCCTTTGATCTTGGCATCCCAACCTGCTCCTCTACTGAAAAGACAGTTTCAGTCTTCCACCCTGATTACAGTTGCCCACCACCCCTCCATGCTTCCCCACACTTCTCTGACCTCCTTGAGTCCTTCAACATGCTGACTTCTCTGTCTCCTGTCCTGGCTTCTCTCTCTACTCATTGTGGTTTCAGAGTCTATCACTTCAACCACTTGCTTTTTTGTTCCACTCTTATGGAAAAGTGGTGAGAAAGGGGCCAGTGCTGAGGGAGGGGGGAGGTCTTGGAAGTGCAAAGGGGGTGCTCTAGGAAGCAGAGGAAATGAATGAGATGCCCAGTGAACAGGTATGGGGGCCCGGGTGATATTAGCCAAAATGTTAGGGTGGACTGCAATAGTGAGGAAATTGGGGATAGGAACACCAGGTCTATTTTTTTTTTTTTT